ATCATATATTTGTCTTTTACTGCCAGGCTTATTAACTTACTGATTTTTAGAGAGAGAGGAAGGGGGACTGAGAGAAACATCAGTTCATAGTTCCACTTATTTATGCATTCATTGGTTGATTGTTGTATATGCTGTGATGAGGGATCAAACCTAGAACCTTGGCATATCAAGATGACACAAACCAACTGAGCTACTCAGTCAGAGCTACCCAGACATTATTGTTGTCACTTAGGATATAGATATAAATAAAACATACAAAGATTGCTGCCTTCCTAGTGTTTAGAAGAAGGGAGTCAGACAGTAAATAAGTCAATATCACCTGGGGAGCAAAGGATATGCACCAGGCAGATAAGGGGATAGTGGTGGGAGACAACAGTAACAGTCTGGCAGGGTATCCTGGGAAGATCTGATGAGAAATGGCATTTGAGCAAAGCTCTGAGAGAGGTAAGGTAACTAGTTATGTGTGTGTCTGTAGAAGAGAATTCCAGGATGAGGAGCAGCAGGTGCAAGGGCCCTGAGACAGGAGTATATGCTAGGCATATTGGAGGAACATCAAAGAGCTCCCTGTGGGTGGAAGAGAGTGAAGGATCAGCCCACATAAGATAACGCTGTCTAAATGAACTTCTTGAGATGATGGAAATGCTCTACATCTGTGGTATCCAGTGTGCTAAGCACTAACAACCTCTGGCTCTTAAGCACTGGCATATGTTAGTATGGCCGAGGAACTAATTGTTAGGCATATTTGATTTAGATCATTTAACTTTAAATAGCTCCATGTGGCTGTGGCTACTGTACTAGCCAGGTTAGATGTGGATGTCATGCATAGTTCTGGGGCCTCTGATCTTAATCCTCAGTAAGACAGATCCAAGGAACCAGTGGTCATGTCTGATCTGCATCTCAGTGAGCTGCCTGAGGTGCTGTTGGGTTCCTTCTAATCTTTCTCTGCAAGCTGCTCTTTGAGCAACAGGCCCACGTTATAAGTTCCTTGTGAGGACAAAGGATGGTGAATCCCCTGAATTTATTAGCATGTCTGCAGCTTTATAATTTCCATTGCCAAATAAATTTTGCTTATTGTAGAAAATACTAAAACCCAGAAATGAAAAAAGTCAATGATATGCCCACCATTCATAAGCGTCTAATTTATGATTTCTAAAGGAAATATGATATATTCATTTTCTACCCTGGTTAATACTTTATTAATTATCAACAACTTTGCTGGGCAATTGATAAACTGCCATGCCATTGCTTTTTATCACTGTATAGAATTCTGCAGATTTTTTTGTAATTTTACTGTTTTTAAACACTGTTGTCAGGAACACTAACAGGAGTGTCCAATCTGCAGCCCATGGGCCACATGTGGCCCAGGATGGCTATGACTGTGGCCCAACACAAAATTGTAAATTTACTTAAACATTATGATATTTTTGTGATAACGTGTCACAGAGTATTTAGTGTATGGCCCAAGACAACTCTTCTTCTAGTGTGACCAAAAAGTTTGCCAAAATTTGCCAAACGTTTGGACACCACTGCAAGTCTAGAACAAATACCCCTATATGCTTGTCCATGTTTTTCTTAGACTGTGCTCTTAGAAACTGAGCTTCCATAGGAAGTTCTGGATTCTGGGCTTCTTGAGGCCCAGTCCTGTAACATTCTTCTCTCTAATCCTCTACTCTCTCCCCAAGCCACAATGCAAATGCTCTCCAGAAGTAACAAGCAGCAAAATTCAGGGGGAATAAAAGGGCAGCATGTAGCCTAGAGGGAGGCAATAGGGGAATGAGTAAGGCTTCAGTGAGACTAAGTAACACAGCTGAGCACAGCTTCCCACCCCTAAAATGGTACCCTTGCAGGCTTTGCTCTTGGAGCTCAGTGATGTGAAATATCATGACTTGTGAAACATAGCATCGTGACTAATATTATGATTATTTTATTAAAATATCACAAGGAAGAAAATGCCAAGATTACTAAGACCCATTCCACTTAGTGGAGGCAGTAAAAATGGGATAGAGAATGGGAAAATTGAGGGGTGAGTGGCCGGACCAGACGGGTACCAGCTGAGGGACCCAGCAACTTCTGCATTTCTCTACCTTTTTGTAGCATTTGTCTCCTCCAAAGGTTTAGCTCAAAAGGGGGGACCTTTACATGGACTATAACCTCTATTGGAATGCTGTCATTCTGCCTTACAAATATTCTAATTCCAAATATCGCCCATGAGGAAGAATTTCAGAAACCGCTTCTGTGTGTGATGAATTTCTTTGTGTTGGTGGTTGTGTATATTTTCTCTATTTAGTTTGTTGGTATGAATGTAGCCTGATGCAGGCAGTCTCATTTCCTTTCCTTGATGTTTGATGGAATAATGCCCATGGCCACTTATAACCCACTAATGAAAGAGAGAACATGAAGAGAGCTGAGCTTTTTTGTCTACCCTGTTATTTGTCTAAATTATTTTAAAATCTATTTTAATCAAAACTAGCTAATTATTTTGGTGCCATGTAGCTACAACTTTGCAATTTATAGTGTGCTTCCCTTATCCTTTTAAATAAAAATCTGTGGAGCTTTTGGTGGGGTGCCTTGAAATCTAATTCTTTGCTTCATGGGTATAGTGGTATAATTCTAAGAAATTTCCAAAGATGGGAGTTGATGGTGCCAGCCTGTCTTTGTGGTTTGGGGCAGCAGTTCACACATGCCTGGCTATTTGATTGAGAAAACTCTAATCTTACCACTATCAGCACTGGACTCCATGTAGGCACCGTGAAATAGACTAGTCAAGATGCAAAATCATCAGAATCCTTGGGGCAGAGGAGACACCTCATCTTTGGACAAATAACAACTTAGATAAAATGAAGTTTATTCATAGCCATGGTTTTGGTGTCCAAACTTAGCATAGTACAGAGCTCTGGATTGAGCAGCCACTGAGTAGGTGGTTCTGTGGTTTAGAAAGATTTCAATTTCTCAGAGCCCAGCTTTGTCCTTTGCAAAATAGAAATAACAATAAAAATAGGAAGAACACCTATTTCCAGAGTTATTAGAATCCACCGAGCTCAGGTATATAAAATTCTCTGTGAATGAAAACCACCGCCCCAAAAACTTCTAAGCAAATATCCATCAACCTACTTGGTGTACACATGTGAGGACACCCACTGGTAGCATCTGAGTTGGCGGCTAGAAGTGTCTGTCCTTTCAGTTCTGATCCTCTACCTCTCTCAGAGATCTCTTTGGATATGGCCCAACCTGGGATTATCACTGTAGGTTTATCCCTTCCCAGACCTTCCTAGCACTTTATGCAGAGGACCCTCAAAGTGCAGCTCAGCCTTTCCAACTTAGCTCTGACATTTCAGGTTGCTCGGTTCCAGAGTGATGTTCTGGAGACCTTGGAGTTAACATGGTTACTTGCCTGTGGAAAGGAACAGCTATGAAGATATTCAGACTCTGCCTGGCAACACTGCACAGCCTTCATTCAAAGAAGAGTTGGACTTCCCAGGAACTGGCATATGTGCATCACCCAAGCAGCCCTCAGTCCGCCCATAAATCTCACCCATGAATTATGCATCTCTGAAAACTGTTTAGCTCCCTACTCTGACAGGCATAAAAACAGTAATTTTCATTTCCCTCTGTTATTGAGGAGACCATATTCATGATGCTGCAGAGTAAAGAGAAGATAAATTTCATAGACACAGCCCTGGGGAAGATATGCTGTGTGATCCCAAGCACCAATGCTTGTGACTCACCTGAGAAGAGACAGTGCCCAGCCAGCAGGAAGGAACTGTCCCACTTCTTACAAGAAGTGACACCTCAGAGCCTCTGACCTGTAGGTCTGGGGTAGACAGATGCTATGTAGACAGTGTGTCACCCACTTCCATCATGAAGCCCTCCACAGAAGGTCCTTGTTTGTGATTTGAGTGAGCCCAACAGAATTTGTATGTTTTCTCCAAGTTAACTAGACAAAATGGTTCTAAGAGGAAGCTTCTGTCATTTCGCTGAAGCACCGCCACTGTCTGTAAACTGGTTAGAGGCTCTGGTTGACATTTTATATGCATTTTAATTAACAAGAATAGAAAAGGACATCATCACCACCTGTGGGCTTCATCTGTGTCTGTGTGTATAGGAACATCAGGGGAGGTATGAGGGGGCATTGCTGCGGTGGTGCTAGTGTCAATGGTATCCACACAGGTGTTAGGCTCACTTGGGGTACCCATCTGAGTGTTGGTCCAGTACTTCAGGTGACCACCTGCCTCTGAAGCCACCTGATGAAGTGGCCAGCATGCACTGCAATGTAGTCCTGAATATCTTCAGCCTGCAGCAGGAGGGAACATGTTTAACAACTTCCTGCACTTACAAAAGCTGAAGTTAAATGTGAGTCCATCTCTGGATAAAATAAGTTCATAGAATGGCCTTAGTCTGGGATGAGTCATCATGCATGTGCCATGTACTGGTGAGAGAAAATGTGTAGTGGGGGCCCAGCAAATGGGATAACTAATGAGAATAAAAGCATCCTTTATCTGGACATGTAGGGGTGGAAGCACATTCACACAACAGTGCTTTAGCATCCTAGAGTTCTGGTGTGCCCTCTGTGGGACATTTTGGTCATTGTAATAATTGGAACTGCTTTTTTAAAATCCCTCAGTCACAGAATAGAGTGGAATCCACAAGAGTGTGTGCCTTCTGAAATTACCCAGTTCTATCCTCTGCAGAGCAGACCTTTACCCCCACTGTCCAGGCCTCTGTCTCAAAGATCTGTGAAGTAATTGTCTTCTGTAGGATTTTATTTTCTGTGGAATTACCCAATAGCCCTGTACCCAGGATTTTTCTCATCCTGTTCTTGCTAAGGGTTCCCTCAGCTGGGGGCCTCCTTTTGAGGAGAAGTACTTGCAGGCATAACAAAAACAACCTTCCTAAAGGCTTCTCCTTATGCCAGGCTCCACCTCCAAATTCAGAGGGCATCATAGAGTGGTTCCTTTATTAATACTATTCTTCTGTTCCATCCCCATCTGTTGTTTTTGCAGAGCAACTACTCCAGTGATACAGAGAGTGAGGACAACTTTCTCATGATGCCCCCACGGGACCACCTGGGCCTCAGCGTCTTCTCCATGCTCTGCTGCTTCTGGCCTTTGGGCATTGCAGCCTTCTACCTGTCCCATGAGGCAAGTGTACACACACATAGAGCACACCAGGCTAATAAGGAGGAGAGCCCAAGAAGACATTCAGCTCATGTCAGCAGACGGGTCTTTACTTTATAGTTAAAAAACAGGCCCAGGGTAGTTAGCATATCATAGGGAGGTCAAGGCCATCTCACCTCAGTGTCATCAGAGGACTCCCTGTGGCTGCTGAGGCAAGGTGGGAAGTCTTCAGAAAAAAGGCTGAGTGATAGAAACAGCTGTTCACTGGGGAAAAACAGATAAGTTGGGGATCTTGGCCTTCAAACAGGCACTTGGGCCCAGACAATGGTATTGACCCATAGGGACTAGAAAGCTCTGTGCCCAGGGTGGAGATATCTAACTTACTAAGAGTGGGGTAAAGGGGGTTTCATTTTCTTTGTGAAAGGTTCATTCATATCAAATAGATTCTAGTTGCACAGCAGCTTAAATTAATGTTCTGCTAGATGAAATGGTTTGTCATGATGGTGGTCATGCCCTCCTTTGTCCAGTGTGAGGACTTCTAAAGGTATAGTTTCTCAGCTTTTTTTCACCGAAAATCATCATCCTCATTATGCCTTCATGGAACCTAGGTTAATATATTTTTTCTAGCAAAAGAAGAGTATTCTTTCAAAAATAACCTATATTCTTATTTTCAGTAATCAACGAAAGACATTTATAGTTGCTATTTAAAGCATGGGGTTTCAGGAACATCGTCCCAGCCCAACAGATAGATAGGCAGCCTCATGGGTTGGCCAGGGAAAGCAAGGCACTGCACTCATGGCTCTTTGAACTTCCTTCAGCACTGGAGTTTCCTCTCCAGCTTCTAGGGTTCTGGGAATGAGGCTGCAAAAACCTGACTCTAGCAGGTCTTTTATTTGAAACACTAATTTCTCTTGACTTGAAAACAGATTCCTTGGCCAAGCCCAGCAGTGACCTGTCACTGCTTCTTGTTGGTTTCAGTATTGATTCGGTTCTGTTTGACTGGCGACAAGAGTTCTATTATGCCCTTTTCTTTTTCACCTGCCTCCCCTTTCCTGACACCATGCAGGGGAGAGCAGTGGACTTACTGGTGGTGATATACCTGAGGCCAGGTGCTTCTTGGCATGGACACTCCAGAGGCCCTTCAAGGCAAGGGTTAAAGAGCCAAAGAATAAGGTAGGGCCCTTCTCAGTGGTGCTCTGTGGTCCTGGCTCTGAAAGATAATGGATGGGGGGAGGGGTGATGGGTAAGTCCTGCACTGCTCAGGTTGGGCTGAACGGTTGTTCCATATCCATTGAATGACTAGAGGTTCTACCTGAATATCTTGTGTAAGTTTGTCTTATGAATGCCAAAGACCCCCTTCTTTGGAGGCACAAGCATGGATGGGAAAGAAAGACTCCCTGGTTTGATAGGGGCCTGGGTAGTTGTGGGTGGAGTGAGGCCTGGGTATGCCTTGACCCCACGGAGAGAATGTGGTTACTGTGTATACTGGAGTCTTGCATACAGGGTAGGACCTGGCTTCATACAACGAACAAGCTCACCCACCTCTTTGTACACTGCACCCAAAACTTGAGTTAAGATACTACATGTTGACAAGAGTAGTTTCACTATGAAAGGGAAGATCAGGATGGAGACAAGAGAAACAGCTTCTCACAAACTGTGGGCAATTCTGGCTTTTCCCACGAGCAGAACATAGGAGGTCAACCCTCTCGCCTTCATTCCAGCCCTGCCACATGATGAGATAAAGGAGGGCAGCTAACTCCCAGTCTCCTGGATCTGATCCTACTGAGGAAAGCCATTATCTGATCTCCAGCAGGAAGGCACCATTGACATTACAACTTTGATTGCCAGTTTTTAGAGTGCGATTGATTATTTTTACATCAGATTCCACTAAGAAAGTTGTTACCTATTCCAGAAGATGAAAGTAGATATTGTATAAATGTGTCAGTTGGGTGAGCCCTGAATAACTGGGGAAGGCACAAAGAAAGGTTGCTTATGAGGCCAGATAGAACGCTTTCCCTTTTCTTGATGGTTTCACATGTCCCAGGGTAAAGCCCCTATCTCCAAAGCAGAGTAAATTGTGCATATCTTCTTTTTCTAAATGATTGTAGTTAATAAAATTCAAGGCCACAATTCCAGAAGCTAGCACTAAAAGTCTCATTCTCAGAAAGTAATTTTATTCATCACATGAAAAGAACCTCTTAGACTTGGTCCTGACAAGTCATGACATTTCAGACCTTTGGTGATAAAGAGGACTCTGATTATTTGTTCAAGAATAAATGTGAAATTCAGTTTCTGTGGAGGGTTCTGGTCATATTTCTCAGAGGTGAAGGCTAGAGTATAGAGCTTGACTTCACTCTTGGAATAAGAATAGGGGCCCCAGGGGCCCTGTCTCTCAAAGCTTTTTTTCATTGTGCCGCAAGGATGGATTTCCCTTTAGTGGGACCACAGCAGAGAAGAAATCTCTGGAAGTGAGTGCCCTTTATAGGGCCTATATCCAAATCTTTCCACATGAGAACTTCCAGGCTGAGATTAGGCCCATGCATCTCTCTTTGTTATAGTTCACAGCTGTGTATTTCTCAGCTCTGCTGCAGACCAGAAGGCAACCACCCCTGGCACACAGGCTTCAGCACTGCCACAAGGCTGCTGGGCATGCTGTCTGTGCCTCTACAGCCTAACTGCTGACATAACATATTCAGCAGACATGTGAGAGTAACAGACAGCTGCCAAAGAGAGAGTGTACATATGCAATAAAATAGACACTCTGAGAGTCAGTACATTAAATTAAATCAGTGCTCTTCTGGGCAAGGCCATCTGGGAGTTCTATCCCAGGCATTGGAGAAAGGAAAGACCACAGCCAGCTCTATTCTATCATTCTTTACAGTTGCTGCCAATATCTCTTGTTTCCCAGAGTTTTTTGGTTCTGGAGTGGTGATGTCAGAATAGAGCAAACATCATATTGATGAAGCCAAGACTCCCCAAGTTCCATATACTGTTTACAAGGAAATCTGACATCAGTATAAGGTTGGTTTTTTTTTTCTTTTATCACAGATCATATTTCACTGTAATCACTGACAATTAGATGATGTATTCACTTTGTCAAAATAACCATTTAGTGAGGTCAAGGGAACATGTAAGGCCATTTTAGGAAAACAAAACAAATTATCTCAGTGGTTGCATGATATGTGTCAGTGTGACCAAATTAACCGGTTTTGTGGACTTACAAAGCCCAGGATATTGAGACTTCTAGCCAAGATAGAGGCATATGTTGATATATTTTGCCTCCTCACACAACCAAAAAAAAGACAACACCAATTTAAAAACAAAAATAACCAGAACTGCCAGAAAAACAAACTTTATCAAAGTCCAAAAAACAAGGAGTTAAAGAAGAAACATTCATACAGACTGGTAGAAGGGGCAGAGACAGGCTGGCAGGGCAGAGAAGACAAGGGGCAACTGGCGAACTGGGCAGTCCCACATTTGTGTGTGGATAAACCAGAAGGAACAAGTAGGGAGCAAGACAGACTGCACAACCCAGGGTTCCAGCACAAGGATATAAAGCCTCACAACCTCTGGCTGTAAAAACTGGGAGTTGCAGCAGCAGGGGAAACTCCCAGCCTCACAGTAAAGTCTGTTGGGGAGACCCACAGGGTCCTAGAATGTACAAGGCCACCCACCTGGGAATCAGTACCAGAAGGCTTCAGTTTGCTTAAGGGTAGCAGGGGAAGTGACTGAAAGCCAGATGACAGCCAAACAAATGGCATTGTTCCCTCTCAGACCTCTGCCCTATATACAGAGCCACAAGCAGAGAACTGAGTTGCCTGCCCTGACAAATACCTAAGGCTCCACCCTCTATAACATGACAGGCTCACTGAGGCAAAAACATATATTTTTTTCTTGAGGCTATATATATATATATATATATATATATATCCCAAATGAAAAAACAGACCAAAACTCCAAAAATGGAACTAAGCAATAAAGACATAGCTAATCTGTCAGATGTAATATTCAAAACCCTAGTAATCAGGATGCCCACAGAACTGGTTGAATATGGTCACAAAATAGAGGAAAAAGTGAAAGCTATGCAAAGTGAAATAAAGAAAAATATATAGGGAAACAACAGTGAAGGGAAGGAAAATGGGACTCAAATCAACAATTTGGAGCAGAAATAAACATTCAACCAGAACAGAATGAAGAACAAGAATTTTTTTAAAAAATGAGGAGAGGCTTAGGAACATACAGGACAATTTTAAACATCCTAACATCCAAATCATAGAAGTGCCAGAAAGAGAAGAAAATCAAGAAATTGAAATTTTATTTGAAAAACTAATGAAGAACTTCCCCAATCTGGCAAAGGAAATAGATTTCCAGGAAGTCCAGGAAGCTCAGAGTCCCAAAGAATTTGGACCCTAGGAAGCACACACCAAGGCACATCATAATTACATTAGCCAAGTTTAAAGATAAGGAGAGAATCTCAAATAACAAGAGAAAAGGAGACAGTTACCTACTAAGGAGTTCCCATAAGACTGTCAGCTGATTTCACAAAATAAACCTTGCAGGCAAGAAGGGGCTGGAAAGAAGTATTCAGAATCATAAAGGCAAGGACCTACATCCAAGATTCCTCTATCCATCAAAGCTATCATTTTGAATGGAAAGGCAGATAAAGTGTTTCCTAGATAAGATCAAGTTAAAGGGTTCATCATCACCAAGCCCTTATTATATGAAATGTTAAAGGGACTTACCAAAGAAAAAGATGATCAAAAATTTGAACAGTAAAATGACAGCAAACTCACAACTATCAACAGCTGAACCTTAAAAAACTAAGTAAATAATTAGAACAGAAACAGAATCACAGATATGGAGATCACATAGAGGTTTATCATTGGGGAGGGGGAAAATGGGGGAAGGTACTGGGAATAAGAAGCATAACTGGTATGTACAAAATAGACAGGGGAGGTTAAGAATAGTATAGGAAATTGAAAAGCTAAAGAACTTATATGTAGGACCCATGGACTTGAACTAAG